TGGCAAGAAATGGTTAACCTGTCAGCACATCTCCACTTCCACTCCTATCAACATCCCCCATAACAAAATAAAAACATCAGAACCCATGGTTCCTGAATTCTGCCTTTCCCAAAATGTGATACATCTCATCCAATTGCCTCATGGCATTTACGTGGGTGAAACTAAACAGCAACTACACACCAGAATGAATGATCACAGAAAAAAATATAAAGGATGGAGACATACACACACCATTAGAAGCACATTTTTTCCCCCAAAAAACAATCACTCCCTCTCTGACCTCATTATCCTAATGCTCAAAGATAGCTACCTGACACCGTTAAGAGGTGAATTTGGGAACAAAAATTCGTAAGCTGTCTGGATACTAAGAATCAAGGACTAAACACCGATACCAGCTTTATGGCATATATTATATCCAACTCCTGAATTCTTTCCACGCAGGAAAGATGAGAATGACTCTCCTTCCTTTCAATAGGTCTTGATCTCCCAGTAAAACAGTTTCGTTTCTTCTACTGTGTGTCTGCTAGCCCGACAATTTCTCTCTCTCACTTCCCTCTGCTGTTTTTTCACTATGCAGTGCCTAGTTCCTATGACCTTAGGAAGAAAGTCTTGCACTTGAAAGTGTGTCTAACTTTATCCAAGCTACATAGCTGGTCCAATACAAGATATCAGCCTAAGAAATCCTTGCCTCTCACAGTTTTATTTCTGATCGTTTGAGACAATGCTGAGACAGTATCTTCTTCATACGCCTACATTTTTTGGGCACCAGAGTAGAAAGTGTCCCCCTCACTTTCATATACATTCTGCCACACTAGATGCACAATGGTTTATTTTAGGATTTATACTATGCTTTATGGCTTTTAGTTTCCAGATGTTGTTTATGGTCACTTATTCTGTTCGATAAGGTACTAATGCTTTTTCACATTTGGCCATGGTGCAAGGTAAGCTATGCAGGCATCTGTAACAGTTTAGCATAGTCTTTGTTATATCCCCTTCCTAAACACCCACCCTACATTGACATTTTAGCTGTTAGTTCAGGTGCTCTTGGGAAGTTAAGGTTGCTATGACCTTAAAATAATGTCATCCTAGCAGTACATCAGCTCTATTAAGTGAACCTTTCTTTTCAAATGTTGACTCTAAGGGCTTTTAAAACCTACACATTTACTTGACTTGCCTTGAAATTGGGTATCCCTCATGGGGCTGCAAAGTCAAGCTAGTAATTCAGATTTGGGAGCATCTGAGACAGATGTTTCAAGGATATAAGTAGGGACCAAAACATTTCTTAGAATTAGCAGATTCTACCAACATTTTTTGCAGACATGGGAACTGAATCCAAAGGTCTCAGTCATTTGAATCCTTTACTCCAGGTAGTGCTTGGCACCCTCCTCCCCTTTCGGGAAGCAATATTGAACATGATAGCAAACAAAGATTTAAACTCTTACCAACAGGCATGAAGCAAATGCTCTGGTGCTAAATGGTTTACACTGCCCTTGTGCAGAAACCTGAGGGAGTTACCAGCCCACCATTATGTATGGATGCTTACTGGCTGGGGAAGAGGAGAGAGGTGCTTGAGATTGTGAGAGAGAGAGAAGGGAAAAGGAAGAGGATATCAATGGGGGACACAGGATGTATGAGACACTGGCCTCCATGCATGTCAGGATCATTCCTACCAGTTAGCCTTGGTCTCCGGTTTTCAGGCTTCTAATCCCAATTCACCAGAAATGTCCTTGGCCAGAACATCCTTGTCTCATTCCTTTAGACTTCTCTCTCAGTCTCCTTGCACAAGTATTAAATCCTCCCCACCCTCCATTGTCTCCAGCTTCATTTACTCTGTTGAAACATCTCAATCTGCTTGTCTCTCTTCCTAAGCCTGGTCTCCAGTCACCTCTCCCCCCACATCTCCACTGGGGCCCAGTCCCATTCTTAATGCTCCCCCTACCCCAGGGTCTTGCTCAAGCAGTCCCAGTTCTCTCTGGGGAACTTATCCTAATGAGATCAGTTTCCAATCCCCTTCTGCCCTTTGCTCCACTAGTTCTCAGTCCTGGTCTTCCAGGTAGGTGTTTCTACATCTGATTTCAGACCTTCATCTTTTCCCTACCATTCCCACTCCCTCATTTCTTTCCCAGCTCCTAGTCTCCCTTTACCTAGTTAATCCCCATCTCCCATCCTCAGTCCCCAGTCCCAGTGTCCTTTTTCTTCTTCATGCTGTCAACCTGCTGTCCCAGTTTCTGTCCCCTTTCCTCCTCTCTCAAGGCTCCTGAATTCCATTTCCTCCTACTATTCTCCCTAACACAGAGCTCACAGTAGAGATGATATCTTTTATTAGACCAACAAGATTTTTGGAAAAAAAAAATAAATCTTTAATTGCAAGCTTTTGGGCACAAACACCCTTCATCAGGCATTGGTGTGATTTTTACAATCAAAAGATTGTAAAAGTTCTCCTAAGTAGAAATTAAAGTTCATATTTCATAGGATTTCACAGAGGAGTCAATAGATGGAAAACTCCTTTGGGCAGTCAGTTTATAGACACATTCCCAACACAAAGTCTCTTCCTGTTGCACATCCACAGTCCAGCCCTAGTACCTCATTATTTCCAACCAAAATTTCCAACTGAATTTTATTTTTAACATGGGTAAATTATACTTTTTACTCCCCTAATTCTGGGACATGACACATTTTTGTTTGAAAAAAAAAAAACAACAACAAACACTCAGCCCAAGAAAGACAGCAGACATGGAAAGTTCCAGCTGAGACATTTAAAGTTTGGCAGAAAGTCATGTTGAACAGCTCAATACAGAGTCCTACAATGGAAAATGCTGGGCAAGTTTAATAGATGAAGTTACCAGCCCCACCTGTCAGGCACACACAGAATATAAATTTGACCAAGAAAGTGCATAAACACAAGGACATACGTGATAGATCTACATTCCCACAAACACAATATTCTGCGCTCCATACACATGCAGTAACACTGTTGCCACAAGTCTGCAACAGTGTAATATCAAGTTGTACAACAACATGCACTGCCTGGATTATATGCATGTCCAAATGATATACAGCTCATGCTGTAGATAGGCATGTATAAACCACAACATGCTGTTACTACTCAGCATTAAACCCACCCACAATTTACACACCAAAAACCATAGCATGAAGCCTGGCAGTTGCTTTTTGTTTCACAGTTAACCAAATTCTCCAGTGCTATTCATGTTTCTTGAACTTTATGAATCAATAGTTGAAGCTTTGGTTTTACTGTTGTTTGCAGAAGAGTCCCTACTATTCCAAAATCCTCTCAGGTGACACTACAGCTAATCCCAAACCAATCCTAAAGTATACA